ATATATATATATATATATATATATATATATATATATATATATATATATGGTATATATATATTTTTTTTTATTCATATATTATATATCTTTTTATATAAATATTTTATATTCTTATGTAATATAGTAAATTTGGTATGAAATTATATAAATATCTTATTTTGTGATTTTATATTTTCCTTACAAATCAGATTTTTTTTCTTGTTACTTTAAAAATTGTTAATTTTTATATTATAGCAAAGTTGTATAACTTTTTTTTTAATGTAATAATTTATTTGAAGAAAAAATGAAAAAGTCCGTTATTGACGATTAAAGAAATATTAATAATTTTTCATGTATTTTAATGATAACTGCAATTTATGATCACGGACTCACACAAAATATCTTTCACATAGTAAAATAGAAATCACAAGTATGTGATAGTTTACGTGATAGACGTTATTTGGTTCTAGCGGCGCTGCAGATGTTGACAGATGTTTTGCTGCAAACATAAGATAGCGGCTAGCGGCCATGGTTATATAGTCAAAGGTTTCCGCGCTTCATGTAATGGCACCCTTAAGGTACTTTTACATGGGAGCATCGAGCGTCGAGCATTAAAGCGGTAGCCAATCAACGTGCCACTTTCCGCAAGAACTACAAGTATATTTCTGGGACCTGATACGTTGATTGGCTAACGCTTTAACGCTCGACGCTGGAACGCTCCCATGTAGGGCTGCGTTCTGATTCTCCACCCGAGTGTATTCTATTACTAGAAGTGCTATAGTATATGTCACATATACTATAGTGTTTCTAGTTATAGAGTGCACCTGGATGAGGAATCTGAACGCACCCTAGGGTGTGTATCAGTTGGACACGGGGCAATTGAACACAGTCCAATCACAAGTCGCTGTTCCAAGGGACCCTACAAATGTCTCTAATCACACGGTGCTGTGATTGGCTGTGTCCAAATGCACCGTGTCCAAGTGCACCGCTCCCTCCCACCATGTATTGGTACCTTTATTCAATTACCGGAAGTCACATATTGAAAGAAGGAAGGATCATAACGCAGCCATAAAGAACAAACCTAATGACATACAACATGGCGCCCGGTACCGAAGGTCTCACAGATTTACAGAGAGATATTTTTACAAAAATCAGTAAAAATGAAGTATGTGAGCTTAAGACATTATTGGCGCCGAATAAAGTCAAAATGGATTTTGTTGACGAAAATGGCATGAGTCCTCTCCAGCATGCCTGTTACAAAGGAAATGTTGAAATAGTGCAGATGCTCCTTGATCAAGTAGGTTATAGATCTGTTTTTAAGTTTCACTAAAGTTGCATTCCATATACAAACATATGTTCTTTTGAAAGAAAATTTTATTGAAAATCGATAGTTCATGTTACGTTCACGTTACGAAAATCTATAGTTCATGTATAGTTACATTATTATGGACTTCCAGTAAAATTTTCCTCAAAAAGAACATTTTGTAATATAATTTAAGATGCAATTTCTGTGCTTAAAATGAAATAAATTAGTATACGAGGCTTAATTGTAAATAAAGAGAAATAAAGAAAATAATTGTTGCAGCATAGAAAATGCAATAAAAAAAAAAGAACAGACTGTTCTTATTAATAGTGTGTTGATAATGGATAATCATCTGTATTGTTGTAAATAAGGATATATATAATTTACACATAAAATTCTATATAGATGATTGACTGTATTTATGATTTTTTGTAGACTTGCATTTTTATTAGTAAGAATCTATTCTGTATTGTTGTTTATTTCCATTATCAAAATTCCTTAAATTTTTATAAATTTTGAAGAAAATTTTTTATATAATTCCAAATGAATTGATTATATATATATATATATATATATATATATATATGTATATATATATATATATATATGTATATATATAATTATATAACTTATGAATTTATATATAATAATATACTTAATTGTATAACTTATTTATATTTTATAACTTATATTAATAAATGTTAATATTTTTCAGAAAATAATATATTTGTTATATTTAAGTTTTATGTGATAAGTTAGATTATCTATGGAACATCCATAAACTAGAATAAAACCATGTTCCATTTTGTGATATTTTGATAAAAAATAGATTTATTACAAGCAATCTACTAAACTCTAATACTGAACTTTAATATAATCTTTAACTTGAATTTAACTACTAAATATGCTAAACATTCCATAACAGGAGTTTTATATTAATATTAATTGTAACATGATAGAATATTCTAATGAATTGCAACCTTTGATTGTATAATATATAATACTATATAATAAGTTTTAATAACTTTTGCTTTTAAAATTAATCTTACTAAATGGAAAATCATCTAATATTTGTAAAAGTATGTCTTTAAAATCATTATACTAAATCATGGAAGCTCATAAAATATTTAATTATTGTGGTATTGGTAATGTTCTGATATTTTTGTACAAAAATCTGATAATGGTATTGTTCTGGTGGTTTTGTACAAAAATCTGATAATTCTGCACTACTAATGAAGTGACTATCTATGCAAATTCCTTTGGTGTTAAAATATTTCAAAATAGAATGTGGATTTACCTAAAAAATATTTAATAAAGACATAAAAAAGTTGTATATTCCAGTGTAAAATATTAAAATTTTATTAATAACTAATATATTAAGAAAATTGCAAATGACATTATTTGTATATTATCTCAATTAAGACTCCAGGCTCCTTACATTGTCTATCTCTTTAGTGACGTCAGAAGTGAGAAAATGCATGCTAAACATTTTTGCAAAATATGTTGAAATAAAAATATATATCCATAAAGTAACATTTGCAATTGATTAAAAAAAATTTTTTAGATATTCCATGCACTCCCCTTTTGCTCTAATCAATAATTTATTATAAATTAACCTGAATAGAAATAAGTAAAGAAATATGTTCAGAAGATGAATTGTATGTTACATTAATTTATAACAAATTATTGATTGTTAGAGCAAAAGGAGAGTGTACGGAATATCTTATAAATTTGTTTAATCAATTGTAAATGTTACTTTATGGATATATATTTTTATTTTAACATATTTTGCAAGAATTCTTAGTATGCATTTTCTTGCTTTTGAAGTCATTAAAAAGAGATAGATAATACGAGAGGTCAGGAACCTTAAATTACATCTAAATAAAAAACTTTTTATGTGTATTTGTTTCAGGTTATATTTTTGTGAAATTTATAAAATTTTCAGGGAGATGATTTTGAATTTTAACTTAAGATAGAATTGTACAATACTGTTTGCTTATAGGGTGCTGATGTAAATGCATGTCAACATGAGCATGCATATACCGCACTTCATTTTGCTGCTTTAAGTGGTAATGCTGAGTTGTGTCATCTTCTAATGTCTCATGGAGCACGTTTGACAGCAATGAATAGCGTGGGCAGAACAGCTGCTCAAATGGCTGCATTTGTTGGCAATCACAATTGCGTAGCAACCATTAACAACTTTATCCCAAAGGCAGACATAGATTTTTACATTAAGCCTCAGGGTTTGCAGACGGAACCCATGCTACCACCACATTTAGCAGATTATTTTCATAAATTCATAATGCAGGTCAATGTTAATCCTGTACGTGTGGCCATAAATTTACAGAGATTTCCTACTCTCTTAGAAAATGCTACAAAAGTAAGTAATATGCTATTAGTAAAAAAAAAAGAAGAAAGAAAATATAATGAAACATCAAATTAACCCCTTGAATGTATATGTATCATATGTATACAGAAAAAGTACATGCCACTAGGATAATGTACATATATGTGCATCTTAAAAAAAAAGCTGATTTATCCTTTTGCGATTTGTATAAAACCTGGTATCTAATAGTTTTTGAAGTCTTTGAATCCGAATATATTAGAATATTAAAATTCAAAATGGTAGATTCAATATGGCGGATAAAAAGTTGGAAAAATAATTGGATTTTTATATTTTGATCTGTCATATTGGATTCGTCATTTTGAATTTTGAAATTCTGATGTCACATTCGGATTCAGTGACTTTGAAAACTTTAATACTAAAATCGTAGCGGAAATGTAAGAAGAAACTTTTTCACACTGGTGACACGGAAGTTTCATTTTTGCCATACAGTCAAGGGGTTAATACTTACATTACGGGGTTAATACATTAGTATATAAGATATATTAAAATTTATTTAAATTGTCTATTAACAATTGCATTATATATTCTGTTACTTATTTCTTTATGTTTACTAGATACAGAAAGTACTAGAATCTATGCGCTACAGAGAAATGACACGAGGTGCTGAAACAAATGAAGTAATGGCATTCAAGTATCATTATTTGAGTTGTGTTGTGGACGAAGTATTAAAGTGCCAAAAACGGCAAGAAGCTATGAAAGCAGAGAAAAACGAAAAGAGTAACGAGGAAAGCGAAGAGAAGAAATCGGATACTGTAGAACTTCTGGTGCGGAGGTTTTTAAAATGCAGCAAGAACGATGGCTTACCAGAGTATCAGGAAGCGTTTTTGAGAGAATCTGTGAGGGAGTTTCCATTTAGAGAAAGTACAATTTTTCGTCAAATGGTTGCCACACTGGCGAGTAGAGATCCACCGTCAGCTGTTTCCGTAGTTTCTGCTGCAATTAATGGACAACGCGGTTTCTCCGATAATGCACAGATCTGCGTAACTTGTGGTGAAGATAAAGCTATTAAAAAATGTAGTAAATGTAAAGCGGTACAATACTGCGACAGAGAATGCCAGAGATTGCATTGGTTTATGCACAAAAAAGCTTGCGCTAGACTAGGGCAGTCATCTAATAATGGGAAAACCACGGATGTAGATAAAGAGCAGATTACGAATGTTCTTGGTTCCAGATTACAAAATTTAGCTGTTAAATAAGTGTGTATCATGTATACAAATATCAATAATTTGATCAAGAAATTATATGTTTATAACAGATTTGCTTTGTATATAGTCATTCGTGTGAATTAGCGCGTCTTTGTACGACTGTGCCTATGGTACCTACAGAAATTAAATAATAATGTCATTATTTCCGTATAATTAAAATCGTTGAAGTTGAGTAATTTTTATTTTGTCTTAGATATAGTCTGCTATGCATTTATTTTACAGCTTTCAATGTCGATACCTGACAACGGCCAAAGTAATCAAAGAAATTGTACATCTGAATTGAATCATAAATTCTTAATTGGTATGCAAACATACAACAAAAGTCGCAATATTTATAAACTAACTTTTTGTATATATTTATTTTCGGTAAAAAAAATTGTGCACGCGTGCAAATGAAAATAAGAAATATTGTATTAAATGTTAAAATGCATGTTAAGATGATTAGAGAAAACATTTCTCTACACTTTTATAAACATTTTTTCCGAAATATCTTTGTCCCAATTATTTTCATTGGATATATGTGCTAAATTGAATGTATCTGTTAAATATTTTAAAATTGTTATTTAAACTTTTACAGTGGTCTCTGTCATTGTCAAAATAAAGCACGTTTACTTATAACTTTGATATAGTACTATTTATATCATCTCGTATATTTCATACCATTAATTCTGTACTGATAATAACTTTACAAATAGTATGTATATTAAAATAAATTGCATTCCATTTAAAACATACAATTAATGTTTTTCTCATTTAAAATATTAATAAAAGTCAACATACTTAGATATACATTTATTGAATCTGGACAAAAATAAATTATTATAATCTGAAATAATAGAGCGCTCCTTCATAGAGTTAACTAATAGTGAAATATTAATGGCACATAAGGAGTTAGCACGGATGTCTTAGTGCTATTAAATACTAATATAACTTTTAATATTAATATGATTTGTGTAAGCGAAGAAAAAATTTCGATACGTGCGTTTGACATACTGGACATTTTTATCCTCCCACAATCATATTAATATTAAAAGTTATATTAGTATTTAATAGCACTAAGCATCCGTGCTAGCTTCTTATGTGCCATTAATATTTCACTATTAAATAAATTATTATTTCCGATATCACACACACAAAAAAATAAGTTTATACTGCATTATCAATAAACTATTCCATGCTTGTGTGAAATTACTTTTGGACATTCTTAGCGATAAATAAAAAATGTGTGTGTGTGTGTGTAGTTTCAGCTTCATCCTTTTGTCTCAACGTTTTAAGCCAGCAGCATACGGTGCTTGTTTTCATGCTGGATTGCTCGCTGATTGGTGCATTTCTGAAGATGGATGGAAATACATCAATCAAAACAGATTTACATAAAACAGTTTCATCCAGCAAGCAATCCAGCACGAAACAAGCACCGTGTGCCGCTGGCCTTATTAGGTTTGTCGAGTTGCTTGTACTATTCACACTTTTACACTTAATGCCCGTTGCATACTAGTGCACCTCATACAATACAAATTTTCCAAAATACGTTCTGAAGACATTTTTAGGACGCAAGGATGTCATCAGAATATTTTTAGGACGTCCTTTAAGTTGTCTGAAAATAGCTAATATCCAATAAGTTTATTCGCATTAATTGGACTTTTCACATTTAGTGCACATTAAAGCCAGCGGCACACGGGAGCGGTGCACTTGGACACGGTGCATTTGGACACAGCCAATCACAGCACCGTGTGATTAGAGACATTTGTAGGGTCCCTTGGAACAGCGACTTGTGATTGGACTGTGCCCAATTGCCCCGTGTCCAACTGATATACACCCGCGGCACACGGTGCTTATTTTCATGCTCGATTGCTTACTGATTGGTGCATTTCTGAAGAGAGACCAATCAGAATACAGTATTTCCATCCAGCAAGCAATCCAGCATAAAAATAAGCATCGTATGTCGCTGGTTTTAATTCTTTAGAGGTTTTAAAAATGACGTCATGATTTCCGTTCATGTTCCGAGTGTAAATGCAATTCTAATACACTTGATCCCAAGTAAAACCAGCGGCAAACGGTGCTTGTTTTCATGCTGGATTGCCTGCTGATTGGTGCATTTCTGAAGATGGATGGAAATACACCAATAAAAACAGAGTATTTCCATCCAGCAAGCAATCCAGCACGAAAACAAGCACCGTGTGCCGCTGGCTTAAGAGTGAAAAGTGAATTGTATTTACACTCGTAATACGAACGGAAAACATGACTCCATTTTTAGAACCTCTAAAGAATTAGGGCCCTCACACATGAAATGACATAACTGCATGTGCATAGCATAAGACTGTATGGACCAATGAACATCGAGTATTGAGCATTAAGCATCAATATGGTGGCTAAATACTCGATGCTCATTGGTCTATATAGTATCTTATGCTATGCACATGCAATTATGTCTTTCATGTGTGAAGGCTCTTAATGTGCACTAAATGTGAAAGTGTAAAAAATTCAATTAATGTGAATAAACTTATTGGATATTAGCTATTTTCAAACAATTCACACCTTCAAAGGACGTCCTAAGAATATTCTGATAACGTCCCTCCGTCCTGAAAACGTCTTCAGAATGTATTTTGGAAAATTTGTGTTGTTTGAAGTGCATTAATGTGCAACGAGCATTAGGTGTAAAAGTGTGAAAAGTACAAACTCGACAAACCTATTAGTTGCATAAATGAAACATATTCAGATAGCACAGAGATGAACAGAAATTCCTAGAGAATTAATTTTCAAGAATAGATATAGAACTAGAAAAATGAATACTCCAGACAGCATACGACGTCCAATGGACGTCCAATTTTGGTTTTTGTTTAGTCCCTAATAGCCATATGTTCAGGGGACATCCAGAGGACATCCTGAGGATATCCTGAGGACATTATTCGTCCTCAGGACGTCCTTAGGACGTCCTCAGGAGATCTTGTGCTGTCTAGGGTCCCAACATCCATGGACTTATGGGCGTTCTAATTACGTACATTGTGGGCTGCGTTCAGATTCCCCACCCAGGTGTATTCTATTACTAGAAGTGCTATAGTATATGTCACATATATTATAGTGTTTCTAGTAATAGAGTGCACCCGGATGAGGAATCTGAACGCACCCGTGGATGTACAAAATATGTTGACTTTTGTACGTTTTAAAGACGTCCATTTTATGTATTTCTAAGGAACATATATTGAGCTCGCATATGCCTTCATTTATTAATTGATATTAATAGTATAAGCCGGTTTTACCAACACGAATAAATTTAAACAATCGATTAAATTTATCTTCTCTATTGGAATAATTGTATTTGTCAAACGATAATGTGATTAGTTAGTTCCATCGAAAAAGTTACCATTACGAGTTTTTAAAAATTGCGAACAAATTAATCCCTTAATTTGCATTATTAATAAGAAACCCAACCAGCAAAACAATAAAAATTAAACATTTAAACATTTAAAAACATTTTAAAAATATTTAAAAAACATTTTTTAAAACGTTAAAAATAATGAGATAAGTTCCCATTTTTCATTAAAAAAATATTTTTTTAACGTTTGAAAAAATAGAAGTTTAACATTCATTAAATATTGAAAAAAACATAACATTTTTCTAATCCGTTAAAACATTTCTTAATGAAAAAAGGGAATTTACCCAGACAGCACACGATATTTATGATAAAGATTCATAAATATTAGGTCGAATTATTTTTTAAAAATATTATATAAATATTTCATAAATATTCTATACATAAAGAAAAAAGTATCAAAATCTTTACTCAAAATATTATTAAAATATAGGCTAAATTGTTTTACAATATTTATATATTATACAATATATATATATATATATATA